CCGCCACAACGCCCGGCTATTTTTTTTTTGGTTGCAGCCGTCATTGTTGTTTGGTGGGTCCGGGCTGGGGATTCGAACCCGCCACCTTAGGTGTATGTGGCTGGCGCCTTAGCCGCTTGAGCCATAGGCGCCGAGCCAACTTCCCAGAACTTTTGACATGCATTCTGAATTTCCAGGATAGGGATGCAATATGCTGAGTTTGCAAATCATATTTAGACACAAAACTGTTTTCAAAGATTATTTCAAATGTTCTGTGCAACACTAGGAAATGCTGGCCTGGAGCAATGGAAAAGTTTTGGGACTGCTTAAAGAGATAATACGATAAAAGATGTTGAAAGAAAAATTTTACTGAGTCTTATTTCATAATGGTCTTTTTCTTCTCCATATTCTTGTTTCCGAAAATAAGAATACCTTCTTGTGACAAGCATAGCTTGTTGGGAAAATAACTTGTCTGTTATAAATACCTGTATGAAGTAAAAGAAAGGCGGGGAATTACCAAATGTGAGACTATGTGGTACAGTGTTATTTTCTGGTTTTGTATCCAAGCTTTACCCCAGGAAACAGTTGACATAATTGTGACACATGAATGAATTTAGGTGTCACAACTGCCACAAGGGATTAGTTACCCCACAATATAGAAGAGGAGAGAGACTTCAGAATGCTAACCAGAGGTCATGAAGATAGTAAATGGGCGGAGGTGGAATCCAGACCCACATCTATTTGCCTCAAATCTTCCTATATTAGCTGAGAAGTGATACCACCTTCCTGGATGGGTAGAGATGGAATCCAGGCCCAATCTGACTGCCCAGAGCTTCCTGCATCAACCAGGAAGACATGTATTGCTTCCCTAAATGGTAATGGTGGAATTTATACCCTGTCCGTTTGCTGCAAAGCCTCTGTGTCACTTGACCAGCCCTTTTACTTCCCTAAATTGTGTCTAGCTCCAGACAGTCGTGTCAGAACAGAGCAAACCGGTCCCCAGGGTATCACCAAGCATCAAAGGGATGGATCTTGTTTCCCTAATGGTTCAAAAGTATTTCAGATTCTACCGTGGGGCTAGTGTGTTGGTGGGAGTGGGCCATGTAATTGGGCTAACTGGGTCCGATTCCTTTTTTGAGCTGTTTATTTTATTTGTGGTGTTTTTCTGAAAGAGTGGAGACATTGCAGAGCAAGCTTCGTTGCTCAGGTAGCCAAGGTAATCGAGCACCCACGTTCCCA